ATATATATATATATATATAGAATTTATTTTCTTTGCGCGCGTGCACGTCTCTATGTGTGTGTAGAAAACAGTTTTCTCCCTCTACATGCCTTGTGTTTTACATCATGATGTATTTAGCTGAAAGCTGAAAGTCAGTCGCGTGCGTACCATCGTTGGATACGGATCTTTCATTCTTCATTCGTTCTCTGTTGGGTCTCTGTTCGTTCTCCGATTAACTCGGGACACATTCGGTAAGCCAATCTCTCTTGAAATCTCTCCTGCGTCTCTTAATGTCATTAACGTGTCTAAGTCGTCTCAATTAAGACAGGTACTTTGTAGTTGCTTTACTACAACTTTTACATTTTTGCTAGAATTACTTGACGTTCTGTTTACTGGAATTTACTGCCGAACATTTTGCGAAGGTAAAATTAAGCAAGAATAAAGCAAAAATAAAAATAAAATTAAAAGTTACAGTTTTTTGATATGTTAATGTCTGAAGAGGGTTTCAGACATTAACATATCAAAAAACTGTAAATTTTAATTTTATTTTTGCTTTATGTAATTTTATCTCTTGTTAATTGTAATATATTCTTCGTGTAATTTTTAAAGAAATGTGTCGACTCTTACTTTGCTCTTTATTTATTATTATTTATTTTATTTGATGAAGTTTATCTGGATGATAATTATAAGTTTATTCTGGATAATTCGTTTAATAAACTTTATCAAACGAATTATCCAAAGAATCAGTAAACGGAAAAGAAATTTGAGTTTTCGCGAGTGAAGCTATACGAGTCCGACAAGTTTGATGGAATACGTTTATTATTTCAACCGTACACGCAGAGGACTATATAAGGTGATTTTAATGATATTCAGCGAATAGCAAATATCATTGTCCCAAAAGTATTAGCCACTTGCTCTTGTTCGATTGTCGAATGATGATTCAACACGTTTGCATGTCGAGAAAGAATAGTCGATAGAGGATTTCAAAACAAAGATATATTGTTCAGGTCACAGCGGTTTTCTGTTTACCGTTTTTGAATGCAAGTCGTGCGCGAAATAGTGTCGAGATTGTATACAATGTACAGAAAGAATGATATGTCGTACCTTTTCAATGATATATTATATTTATATTGATAAAGATATCGATTAATGCACGTTTCTAACAATGTAGATTAGCTTTAATTTAATCTCGATTCAACTTAATTACTCTTTATCTTTATCTTAACAATTCTTAGAACTAGACAAAAGTAAAGAGTTAATTGAACTAAGATTAAAATTAAATTGCGTTGGTAGAAACAACAAAGGGCATATATCAGCTTCGTCATGTCGAGTCCTCCTCAACTCATTTTCCGTTTGAATGAGCGTAATATTAAGTTTCACGCGTGCCATCATTGTAGCCGGAAAAAAAAGTGGGAATAGAGACGATGCATGAAAAAAAGTTTAATTGAATTAACTGGAATTTTAGTGGAAAAAGTGAATCCAGAAATCGAAAAAAACGATCCAGAATTCTGGTCTACTAGATTTTTGGTTAAATTTACTGAATATTAGTTATTTTAACTAGAATTTTAATAGATTTAAGAAATCTTGTAAATTTAACTAGAATTTCGAATTATTCATTTTCTACCAGAATTCTAGTTGATTCAACTAAACATTTTTTTCTGTGTGGAAAGCTGAGATGAGAACTCTGGTTAAATTTACTGAATATTAGTTATTTTAACTAGAATTTTGAATTGTTCATTTTCTACCAGAATTCTAGTTGATTCAACTAAACATTTTTTTCTGTGTGGAAAGCTGAGATGAGAACTCTGGTTAAATTTACTGAATGTAAGTTATTTTAACTAGAATTTTAATAGATTTAACCAGAAATCTTGTAAATTTAACTAGAATTTTGAATTGTTCATTTTCTACCAGAATTATAGTTGATTCAACTAAACATTTTTTTCTGTGTGGGAACCTGAGACGAAAGCTCTTTTTTATTTTCTTACCCGACATCCGCGAGAAGGGCCATTTTTTTTATAACATTCCTATTAATTCCTATCTAAAGGAAAACGGGCCTCTATACGAAGTCTCAATGCGGCGCGAATGACACCGAACGCTACGAACGCGTTTGCTACACGCTATCGTATCGTCAATCGGCATCGATATTTGCGAACGAAAACGAAAATGAACGGCATTATCTCACGGATTTGCATACCGGAATGATTATCGCCCGCGAGTGCTAATTGTAACTTAACAGCTGATGTCAGAACTGCATTCTATCGATCGTTCTGACGTCTTTTCAAAGGTTTCAATCCATATCTCTATATAACTTCTCTCTATATACACATAGAAGAAGGTTTTATTACATTTTATTATTTTTGAGAGAGATTTCAAATTAATTATATATAATTATGCGTATACAATACAGGGTGTTAGTTAAGTATGTTGCCATACTCAACAGAACGATTCTTTGGTTTATTTCAAGTAAAAAAAGTCCATATAAATATGTGTTCTAAACGGCTTAGTTTCCGAAATACAGGTGATTATTCGCAAATGTTTGACGAAATGGTAAATTGCGTTGGAGATATCTTCCTGCATAAATATGCCTTGCTTCACGTGAGTTACCATTCGCACAATCGTAAACAAAGTGATACAAAGTCAAAACCAAAGCCTCCTAAATCACCAGACTTACAGTAAGTCAAGTAAAAGCGTGGTCGAGTTCATGTTATTAGCCTTGAGATAGGTTCGAATAGTTTCATACGATATATCTAAACCTTTCTGCTTCAGTTTTGCTTGTCCTTGATGCAGTGTTAAGTCAGGATTCCGCGAAAACAGATTCACTATTTTTTTATCGTCTTTTTTCGTCCACTTTGCATATCGAGCCACGTTCCGGTAAATCATCGACATTTTTTTGCCACATTATATCGCTGCACTCACCTTTGTACGAATGATTTCGACTTTTTCATATATTTAGCAGCCGCTAATTGTTGACGGTTGACATTTTTGGACCTTTCGAGTGAGTGCAGAGAAACACAACGTGAGGAACACGCTTCATAGCATAGATGCGTATTTGGTACTCATAGCGCTTAATGTGATTCTCTTAAGAAAGTTCAATGACAACTGAATCTTCCTTGAGTGCATCAAGGATAAATGTGCCCTCCATGGATCCATGATAGATTTAGGGCGATATCTTTTATTAGCTTTGAGTAAGGCCGAGCACGCTCTTACTTGACTTACTGTAAATCCTTTGGATTATTTCCTTCGAGAGCATCTGAAATCAAAAGAAAATTACTAAGGTTAAATAATAAAGAGCATACAGCCACGACTAAGGATGTAATTTTCTAAGCCACTTTCTAACAATTTGAATTTTATTTGTACACGAGCATCTGAAATCGTTGGTTTGTACCATCCCAATTGAGAATGAGAATGATTTGAGGAATCGAATAGTTGCTTCATACGAGGCAATACGTAACACACTGGTATCTTTGAGCGTGTACGTCAATCTTTAAGAAGAAGGCTCGATGGATGTATCATGGCGCAAGGTGGACGTTGTCAACAATTCATCTAATTGTTTTATTTCATCAGAAGAACTGAAGCCTGTTTTTGCTTTTCTGTTTTCGACTAGTTTTTGACTAGTTCAAGCTGTGTTTCTTTTAAATAAACAGATTATTACTACACGTTTAAATTTTTTTATTTCAGAAACTAGGCCGTTTAGGACACATGTTTATGTGGACTTTTTTATATAAAATAAACCAAAGAATCGCGGCTCTGTTGAA